TTATTGCGGCAGTTGACAATTTCCAGGATGCATTCTTTAGAACTTTCTCCGAGGCCGAATCCCGTTATATTGGAAGCGCTGTCACTTATTTTGCTGACTCTGCCACCTTCGCGAAGGCGACGGCTGCATCATCTTATAAGATTCATGAACAAGATTGCTGCAAATCATTGCCTTCAGCTTGATCAGCAGCATTCTAATCGATATGCGGTTGGTTATGCGCTATATATCGGGCCCTACTCATTTTGCTATTCAGGTTTTGAAAGGACTATCTGGATGCATAGTATCAATGGGATTAGACTCTCCTCCGTTATCTCCTTCCCAATGCATCCACCTTGTGACAGTTCTTCTTGACTTTGAACATGAAATTTTTGCTGTGCCTGAGAACCTTGCATCAGAAGTTGATAAAATTGTTCAAGAACGTCAGCGAGAGAAGGTAAGAACGTCAATTCAGGACTCAAGCTCTTCATGAATTTTAGGTCTACTCCACTCAATTTGAATCTCATCCACCTTACTTTTGAAAAATCAGGGATTCATGGAATTTTGCTGAGCATAATTTGTCACTATATCTCTTTATTAAGGTAATTATGACCGAACAACATCCTGAAAAGCTGTCAGTTCCCTCAGAAAAACAAGTGCATTTTTGTCGCCCTATCGAGGTGATTATTGGACTTGTAGCGTTGTAAATTTAGTGTTCTTTATTGTATACAATATCTTTGTGATCAAGACTGGCGAGTATGAAACGCAGAATCGACATCTCAACGAAAATCTATTGGAACTCCTGGAGCAAATCTGTACTGATGAAAATCTGTCAATTGCTGAAAAGAGGAGGAGGTTGAAAAAGGTGTTTATCTTCAAATTTCTGGAACTTATAGTACTTCTCATCTCCTTTTCTGTGCTTTTCCCTATTGATCAAAACGTCTCATTTATGTTGCCTTGCATTGAGTTGTAGGAAAGGATTTTAGGTTGGAAATATAGTGTACTGAAAATCTAGCTTATATCCTATTTAAAATGAGTAAAGGAAGGCGTTTTATTGTAAATCTTGCT